AGGGAGGGTTAGGTCAGGTTTCCTCCCGGCAGAGGATTTTTGCAAGAAAACTTTAGGCCAGCAACTTTGGGGCCGGGATGAGCACTGTTTTTCTTCCTTTTTTCACCCGCCAAGACATGGTGGTGAGGGCCACACTTGTTTTCATTTTGCATGAGAGAGGAAGCAAAACAGCTCTTTCTTTTATTTTTTAAAAGATGTCAGCATTTATCCTCTTGAAAATCTCTGTTTTGCTGCCATGCTTCAGCACATGATACGGAACGGGGAGGGGGCATCTGGGGGCTGCCTGGTGAATGACTTCTGTGTGGTGCAGCCGATAGTTGCTCAGCCTTGACTCCTTCCAGAATTTTCCTGGCAGACTGCAATTTGGGGATCCAGGGTTAGAGAGCTGGATTTAGGACTGGGATGTGGCTTTCCTTCATGCTCATCATGGCTTATGTTGTGTCTCTGCCTGCCTTTTTTAACCTTCCCCCAGGGCATTGCTGGGATGGATGGACAGACTGGCCCTAAGGGGAACGTGGTAAGTCTCCACCTGCCATGCGGGTGCTTGTTTGTGCTGCATGAATGAAATTCACTAATTACTTTTCAGATGGCCTTCATCTCAAAGCTGGTGGGTGTTGCTTTCCTAAAGTAGATGGTGCTAATTAATTTTATGTTTTAAATTGATTTCCCACTGATTGCATGTTGCATTATTTTGAATAAAGAAATCACTGGAGTAATCAGTGGTCATCAAAATATTCCTGCATCAGAGGCTGTATGTCTCTGTGTGGGTATCATGGGGCACTTGGGCACATAATTAGTGGCACACACAGCTTATTCGACTCAAGAAGCAGAAGAGGCGGAAACAAGCTCGAGAGAGCGGTCTTCTGGTCCTTGAAGGGCAGTCCCGGGACAGGCGGGGTGGGTTATTCTCCACAGTGCCCGAGGGGAGGACAAGAACCAGCGGGGTGGAAGCCTTGCAGAGGGAGTCCAGACCGGGAGGGCTCTTAAGCAGTGACCCAGCCTGGTTTTCGGTGGGGGCTCTCAAAGAAAGGTTGGGGGCTTGAGGATTCCTGCCCTGGGCAGGGGGTGGGCTAGAAGACCTCCCAGATCCTCTTCAACCCTATGATTCTATGATTCTAAAAGCAGACTTTCCACCCCATATAACCATAAGTGCTGTCCAAGGTGAGTTTGTAAGATTGTGAGGGTGATTGAAAGGCATATATAATTGTATATTTTACATATAAAAGAATTGTGAGGGTGATAGAAGCAAAAAACGAACAAACCAAAAGGAGAGAGAAGGAGGCTGGTCCTGCTGTCTAAGTCCACTCCTTTAGGTAACTGAAAGTTGCTTTCCTAGCTCCCTTCTACCTTCTCTTCGGCAAGCTGGACGTACCCCGATACCTGAGCTCTTCTTCGTCATCTTGTTAGCCCTTCTGTTGGAGACCTTTTTGATCTGCAGCATCCCGAGCTAGACCCAGGACCCCAGGGGCAGAATAGAGGGAGCAATTAGTTCTTGTATGCCCCCCAAGATAGCACGTGTCTTTAAGAAGTCGCCTCCCTCTTCTGGCGCATGTTTCACATGTCCCAGTCCCCTTTCACGTCCACTGCCAGGTCTCCAATCCTGTCCATAGGCTTTTTAGTTTTTCTACCCAGGTACAGGACGTGGCATTTTCGCCCTGTTAAGTTCCATGCTGTTCATTTCAGCTCAGTGCTGAAGCCTGTCCAGACCTTTCTGAATCTTCTTTTTGTGCTAGTTTTGTGTCCCCTACATCTCAACCCCTAAAAGAAGAGCAGAAGCCCACTTCCACCCCCCGCCCTTCGCTTATGAGAAGGGTTGTGTCCTTCCTCCAAGGAGGAAAGGCCTGTGCGTGAAGAGAGACAAGTTTCTGTGCCCAGAGTCAAGAGAATAAAGGGGAAAGGGTTAGGGTTAGGGGGTTGACCATCGATTCCCCTGTGCTGGTGCTTGTGGGTGCGTTGCGCAGCTGTTCAGTTTCTGAACTCAGGGCCGTGTCAGAAGCAGCCTCAGGGAGGAGTCTGCTTCCAAGTGCTAAGCCCAAGGTGAGCCCAGGTTGATGGGCTTGGTGGTACTGGCAAGGAAGGAAGGAGCCTCGTCTTGGAAAGTCTCAGAGGAGGTGAATAAAAAGGTAGCCCACCCGTTCCCACTTAAAAACATGTTCAGGGTTTACCAGCACTCTGTCTACAGTTCCCAGTACGTATCTAATATGTTTGTAGGCAGATATTTCATCTTCTTACTAAAAAAAAAGGTAAACACTACTGGAACAAGTGTGGGTATTCCAGCTGCTGCTTGTGCTGCAGGATACCTAATATGAAACTTCAATGCTTTTTGATGTTTTTCAGTCCTAACAAGAATTATTAGCACCCCCAAAAATGACAGTTCATGGAATGTTTTAGCATGGTTTTCATTAACATGTGAGAGCTTTTGTAAATAGCGTTAGTAGCAAAGTGTCCTTGTTCTTTATACAGCATTATTGATATAAAGTCTAACCGGTTTTAACACTCCTGGACAGCCATTGTCTCCACTGAGTTCCTCCTTTAGTTTCCCTGAAGCGAGGTCAGTGCAGCCCGTGCTGAAGGAGGCTTTTCATCTTTTCTTTTCCAGGGTCCTCAAGGTGAGCCTGGACCACCAGGTCAACAGGGAAGTCCAGGCGCTCAGGTGAGAAGATGCTCTCTGAGCCACGGAAAAGGGAGCCTCTGGGTCCCTTAGGTGACACTGTGGACCGATCACCCCTTTTGCTGTGGGGTTAGAGTATGAAAGATAAAGGGCTTGCGATGTGCCTAATGTTGGTCAGTCCATTAATTTAAGACTCTGAGGGATGCAGCAAATGCAGTTCCTACCACTTCCAGGTGAGGTGGGAAAACTCCTACCTAAAGACCTGGAAAGGCACTGCCAAACCGTACTGAGGGGCTAAGGGTCCGAGTCCAAGATGGCAGCTTCTTGTATATGTCCTAAACTGTTCTTCCAACATGGAAGAGACCTCAATCTACAAAATATTTTTCCTATGTTAACTCCGCAGCAGCCGCCTAGATAGGTCAGATTGAGCGATGGGGGGTTCCCAACCAAAAGGAGATGTGAACCTGGCAGCAATGCAGTCCTCCCCAGTTCGGTGCCTTCCAGAGGTGCTCGGCTTCCAACCCAGCATGGCAAAGACTTGGTGTGGTGGTGTCAGCACTCTGGAAGACCAAGCTGGGGAAAACCCAGAAGAGCTTTTTTAAAAAAAATTATTTTCCTCCAAGCATGAGTCTCACGGAGTCCTCATTTGCAAGCTTCATTACAAAGAATCTAGGAGAGTTGCAAGAGTTCCAGCAAGCGAACTACTGTATATGTCTAGTACATTTGGGTGGGGGCTTTCTGAGTCTTTTCTCACAGCTTTACAATGCAATGGAAAGGAGGTCAGACTTTTTTCAGATATCAGGGTTCTCCGGCTGTGGGTCACTTGAATCCTTTTTCGGCTGAAAACCAACCCAATGATTGGGGCCAAGATTAGAATTGGGCAAAATGGGGTTGTCCAACATTCCACTCATTTCGCATGGAGCAAACCCCGGTTTAAGCCTTGGCACTCGCAGACTGGAAGCCGTCACCTGGGCTGGGTTGGGTTGGTGTGAGGGAAGGATGGTTCACCTGGGTGCCTCTCTTTGCTTCACCCCTCCTTCTCTTTCTAGGGTCTTCCTGGTCCTCAAGGTCCAATTGGAGCCCCAGGAGATAAAGTAAGTGGACTGCAGGCACCCCTGCCCTGTAGCTGCCACTACTCTTTGGAATGGGCTGGCGTGTTTTTGGATAGCTCCTACTTCCGTGTGCAATATCTGTTTATGCATTTTCTTTTCTGGGGCTGGGTGTCTTTTCCTTTTGGATGGCTGAGGACAGTAATAGTCCAGAGTTCAAGAATAGCTTCTTTATTACAGATTTTGAACCTTTGCAGCGTCTGAAAAGAGAGTAGGTGAAAACTGAGGGGCGGGGGTGGGGAGCCGGAAATATGCCCAGGGTCTGAAACTGCAGGGCCAGTTCAGGCATCTGGATTGCTTCTCAGCTGGGCAGCTCATGCCCACGCGGTCCGGCAGAGCCTCCGTCATTTGAGGAAGCTGCTGGATTTCCTCTGGAAGCTCACACGGGTGGGTTTCGGGGGCAGAGAGCAGAGAAGACACGGCCAACCTCTCCTTTCCTGATTGGCCATCTTAAGTTGAACTGAAAGGCCCTTTGGGGAATCCTTGCAGAAAAAATCAATAACGGTCAGAAAATGATTTTCTGACCATAAAAGGTACCTGAGCCAATCTTACAGCTCAGCTCCTGCAGTATGCGATAAAGAGCATGGGTTTATTCTAAATGCTTCTTTGGGTCACAGGAGGGAACAGTGGAGTTGCTGGCCCATTATGTCAATCCAGGCTCCAATCTGGAACTTTGCCCAGAATCCTTTGCGGTGTGGATGGGCTCCATGGGAGGCACAGCAAGGTCCTGGGGCAGCAGAAGATGTAGAAAGACTGCAGAAACATAGCAGTTGAGCCACCTCTGAAATGTCAAGCATGTTCCTAGGAATCAGAGAGCACTTAGACCAAGCCCTAGCACCTGAGGTCTCTGAAAACTAAGAGCATCATTGACAAACCAGTGAGACCAGTATTGTTTCCATCACAGACGTTTGTTGCAGAAATGACATGAGTCCCACCTGCTTTTTCTCCCTTAGGGTCCCCTGGGAAAACCTGGCCTTCCTGGTATGCCTGGAGCAGATGGTCCCCCGGTAAGCTTTGCTGAGAACACTACAGGAGCCCTTCCCTCCTTCCTTCCTTCCTTCCTTCCTTCCTTCCTTCCTTCCTTCCTTCCTTCCTTCCTTCCTTCCTTCCTTCCTTCCTTCCTTCCTTCCTTCCTTCCTTCCTTCCTTCCTTCCTTCCTTCCTTCCTTCCTTCCTTCCTTCCTTCCTTCCTTCCTTCCTTCCTTCCTTCCTTCCTTCCTTCCTTCCTTCCTTCCTTCCTTCCTTCCTTCCTTCCTTCCTTCCTTCCGTAGGCAGGGGTTGTGCAAGCTGATCTCCAAGGTCCCTTCCAACTCTTACATTTTGTAATTCTGTGAACCAACCAGCCCTGCCAGTGCATATGGCTGCCAGCATCATTCTCAGCAGAGAAAGCTGGGTGGCTGTAAAATGCAGCTTCCACCTGAATGTCTGTCATCCTCGGCATGCAAAGATACATCCTTGGGAACCTGCCCTTCTCCAGTTTTGGCCTCTGCAAGGAAGTTTCTGTTAGCTGTGCATCTCATGCATCTGCCTGCATTAACAGGATGTCTGGACCTGCTGCCTTAGTTGGCTGCAGCAGAGAGAGAGAGGGAGGCCTCCGGCTCTTCTGGGCTGGGAAGGGGAATTTGCACTCGGTGCTTCCCCCGCACACTGGGCAGGGCCAGATCATGGTAGGTCCGGCACGTTTGCATCCTTTCTCCTGGACCACCCTGCACAAATGGCTCCAGAAAGACCGCAAGGAACTTGCAGTTGTGGCTCCATCTCTTCTCTTTTGCTCTTTATGGACAGTCGGGAGAAGCACCAGCTGGAAGGCTGGGAGGGGCAGCAGTGGCTTCTGGCAGGGATGGCCCTTGGCAAGTGCCCAGTAGAGCTGCTTCCTATAAAAGCTTTCTGCTGGGAGATGCATTTCCAAGGCTTGATTTGTGGTCCCCATCCACGCCTAGCGTGAGGTCTGGCTGTCTTGACCAAGATGCAGCCAAGTATCCTGTAACACAGAAATGACCCCCTCTGTTCTTGTTCATTATTGGACCTTGGGCCCTGGTCATACTGATGGCTAGAGCACTTTCTATCAACTTGACTGGTCAGGTGAATGTGACAGCCAAAGCCATTCAAATCTGTGAAGGTCCAAGATAAGTTCCCAGCCCAGAGACTGCAGTCTGCATCAGCTGGAGCCCCCTGAGAGTGAAGGACAGGCAGGACCACAGGCCACGCAGGAGACTGGAAGGGCAACCAGCTGGGAGGGTGAAGGAAAGCTTGGCCAATGCGCTCAGTGTAGGCAGAGCAAGCAGTCCAGTTCATTTGCTTCTCTTGGTTTCCTCACTTACAGGGCCACCCTGGCAAAGAAGGGCCTCCTGGTGAGAAGGGGACCCAGGTATGTATCGGTCAGATGGTGATCCTGCCATTCACCTGAGTGATGCTGCCATCATTGGAAAAGGGGGGTTGAATGTTGGGATGCAAACGGCAGCAAGATCAGAACTCCTCCAACCTGGGCATGTTGGGGTGGGGGAATACACCTTAGCAATACAGCCCGTGGTTCTTCTGTGAGCCGGAGGGGCAAGTGGAGGGAAAAGGCTTGGAACCAGCCTCAGTAGACCCAAAGACTACAAACCAGGGTAGGAAGGGAAGGCCCCTCCTTCCTCTCTTTTAAGCCTGAAGGGGTGTGTTCGGACCCTGGTCTGGAGGTCATCACTAAGCTTGCCTCTACACCATCCCCTCACCAGGTGGGTGGGGGGTCAGTACCACTGAAGGGTGTAGTTGCTGGTTTCTTCCAGCTGGAGGACTATCTTTAAGCCATCTTCTCAAAAGCTTTGCCTAAAGACAACACAGCCTTGATATAATTCTGTTGACAAGGTTCTGCCTCTCCCCTCCCGTTGGTTAATTTAGGAAGAGGACTTTCATGGGGGTTGGGAAGGGTAGAACTGATTGAGGTTTAAATTCACCAAGACTTTGTGCTGGGAGGCGTCAGGGTTGGGGGAAACCGCAGCTGTCTTCCTGCTTGCGGCAATCCGGTCCTTGTTGTCTTGGCTTTGCACAAGGACAAGGATTTGCAAGCGCCCGCGCTCACAGAATTGAAAACAGGGCCATCCATCACAAAGTGCATGGCTTCTCTGGAAGTCATCTAGCAATGGCAGGGGGTCGGCCAGGTGCTTTGGATCCCCAGGTGGCTGCCTTCTACGCCAATCACATCCTTGAAAGTCATCCTGAACTCTGTACAGGGCGTCTCCTCAATTTGTTCTGGCTTCAGAGGAGGCTGAAGACCCCTCTGGACCACAAGGCTTAAATCTCTCACAAGCATGAGTAGGATCACACAAGAATGATGTATGTTCAGTTAATCTGTGCGATATTTAAAATAGTAGTAGCTGCAAGGGAGGGTCAGGAGTAGAGTGCAAGTAGAAGAGGGAGCTGCTGTCTCTTCCCCACCCAAATGAGATCTCAAGAAGACCACCCCACCCTCACTTCTGAGCTGCTTTGTGCACTGGGGCGGGGATTCTTCCATTGGCATGGGAAATGGCCCAGTATTCAGTTTAAAGAATGCATGCATCTTCTTTAAGAAAGGATGCAAAGATGCAGTTGAAAATATGAAAACGTAACCCTGGTAATTGCATTTAAACTTCTCTGTCTCTAGTTTACAGAAGAAGCTTCTCTTATTAAAAATATGATTCATGCATTATGTTTTAACCATTCAGATTGAACAAGCTGCAGCTGGAATTCAGTTTCAGGAATAAACCACAGACAAATAACTGCGCTGTGAACAGAATTCACAGAGACAGTAACATAAAATATTCATGGAATGCCCAGCTTTGCGATTTAGTGGTGAAGCTACCAAGCGACACCAAACATGTCCTTGGTGTCATCCTATTGGGCTAGAAGGGGAAGAGCAGATTAAACACCTAGTGGTTTCTCTTCGATTCCTGCAGTTAATTTCTGCCTTAAGATAGTAATGCTGAGAGCTCTTGCCAAATAATTACATCAGGATTGTATGGCTTCTGCAAAACATCCCAGGTTATAGAGATAAATGCTGGGTCACCAAAGGGAACTCAGATGTTTTCCACTGGAAAATCTGGTCATTAGCACAACAGGCCTTTCTAGCAGGAACTGAAGTTCATGGGTCCCTTTTGAGCCGAAGCATGGAGGACACATACGGAGTTGGGGGGTGGGGTTCATTGCTAAAACAAACCATGTGAACGGCATTCCTAGTGGTAGAAAAGCTTGGCATGTCTTTCCGTAGCCCCTCAGCCAATCAAAGTCTGTACTTGAACATTCCCTTCCTGGACAGTGAAGTTGAGGCCTTTCCAGAGTTGATCAGGAGGTGGAAAGGATCTCTTCTCTCTTCAGGTTTCTTTATCACATGGGGATCCTGCAGAAGTTCCTAAAACCTGCAGGCTTTTACCTTGAATTTATGGAGCTGATGAGGACAGTGTCGGGGTAGGCAGTAATTTAACACATCCGCATTTCTTGCTGCAGATGTTCTTCCTATATTTCTGAATGAAATATATGAAGGCATTCATACAAGGGCTCCAGCAGTAGCTATCCTTCTGATTCTAAAATCTTACCCACATGAAGCCAACAGCTTACCCAAAGAGTCCGTTTGCTCTATACCCCAAACCGTTGTATCGTTCAGCTGCTTTTAGCAGCCAAGCCATTGTTTCAGCATGGAGCGCGAACCAGGCCATCACATTGTTTATAATATGGGTATTGGATTGGGCATAACTGTGTAGACGCAGATTTGGTAGTTGGTTTACCTGCATTTAGAGGTGAGCAAGTTGGGTGAATCCAGCCTCTGATTTCCTGGGGGAGAGGGGGATAAATGTGTATTTTCTCTCAAAGAGCATTTCATGATGGTTGAATTCTCCTCCTCCTCCTCCTCCTCCTCCTAACAGGGTCCAGCCGGCCCTCAGGGTCCAATTGGGTATCCCGGTCCACGTGGAGTGAAGGTAAGAAACCAGAGCCATATCTTGGGGCCCTTCTGAACACTGAGATACAGCTGAGACATAATGGAATCTCCTATGTCTTCCTCTGCGAGATTTAGCTGGGTCCTACACTCGGTCTTTTCGAGCCTGGGTGTGACTCTGAAGGCTCACCCTCTTCATGAGAACTGGTCCTGACAACCAGGAACCCAGCAAGGTCACTGGAGACGGTTTGCGTTCTTTGCCATTAAAGGCGTGCTGTGTTCTGCCCCCTCTTGGATGGAAACCTGGTTTGTACTTTTAAAAGAGTCCTGCTGACTGTCTGGTGGTTCATCCAGCCCTGCATCCATGCCTCCACCATGGACCAGAAAATGCTTTAGGGATGCTTGTAAGCAAGTCATAAGGGTTGTCGCCTCTTGCTTCATATCAGGAGAGAAGACAATATTCAGATTGCTTTGGAAGATGGAGATTCTGCTGAGCTGTTACGATGCTGGATAGTTTTAGAGCCATCTGTGCAAAGGACAGCATCTTATAGCGGGAAATCCATATGTAATTGTGCAAATGTTAATGATGTCCTTCCTTCCGCCAGATGTAAGCCTCCTGCCATTTGACTTTACTGAGCGACCAGGAGGGTGATAGAGGGATTACGTTTTCTCCATTCTCTCTGCACCATTTGCCATATTCTAAAATTCAATCAAACCATTTTTCCCAAATCAAAATGTCTTGAAAATTAAATCAGCTTAATGTTCTATTCCATTTTAAGTTTCTGTTAAAACCTGCTTAGGACGTCAGTTGCTCTTTTCCTTTCCCAGCAAAGTGGAACATTACATTTACACAAGGTGCAAGCCCCCTCAAAGCATCCTTACCTACTTCCTTCCCCTTGGCATCTCTGCCCATCTTCCACCCACTGATTTGCTTCGCTCAAGTGGCATAGCACTAATTTCAGAAGGGAGTTCCATGTGCACCTCCGTTGAAGTGGCTTCTGCCCATTGGTGTCTGATGCCAATCTCCTGTCCTTGCCTGGAAGCATTTCTTGCCAGCACTTCTGGCACAGAAAATCCCACCGTGTGGGGCCCAGCTATGGGTGAACTTGCAAAGGCTCAGGAAGGCTGTTCGGGGAGTGAGGTGTGTCTCCAGCTGTTCTCCCTCTCACTTCTCTCCTCCCGCCCCACCACTTGCTTGCCGGGTGTTCCCCCTTGAACTCTGGCAAGAAGCCTTCTCCTCTCTCCTTCCCTGCCCCCTCGGCCTCCCCATTTCCCCAGGATTCAGTCAGTGAGCAGCATCTGGGAATGACCAGATGGATCCCTCCTTCTGTTCTCCTCCTTAATTGTTCCACAAGTTCCCCTTTCCAGGTCAATCCTGACTTAATTGGAAGAATGTCTAAAACATATTCCGGTAGTGGAAGGCAGACAGGATGTCTCAGCTTTCAAATCGTTTATGTTTCTCTGCCTCTCTCTCCACCCTCCCCATCAAAATCCCCCTTGATGACACTGCAAGAACCCATTTTAAGGACTGCATCAAGGTTCCTTTGCTTACTGATGAGTGCGAATGGACTGGGAAAATGGCTGTTGGTGAAGTGCCTTGGAAAACCCGCCCGGGTTTAGCCACTTGGAGTCAAATAAAGGTTTTTCTTTCTTGTAGAGTTTTAAAATCCATCCCTACAAGTGTGTTCCTAATGAGATCACACAGATAGTTGCATCAGGGTTGCCCTTTTGCAATATTTATCAATGTACGTAATGTTTATAGCCAAGGAAGAAAGAGGAAAGGCGTGAGGAACTGGCAGCTGCAGCAAAACATGTCATCTGAACAATCTTCTGCACAAAATTCAGATATAAAAAATAGGCCAGGTAATTTGGAACTGCTGAATAAAAGGAGAACGTCAAATGGGGAGAAACATCCTCTTTGATATTGTCCACTTCCCTTCCTAGCTGAATTTTTGCATCAAATCTGCTACCAGTTTGAAAAATGTTTCCTAAAAATGTACCTTTTGACCTTTACTCCTTTTGGTGCAACAGCAGTCAGCTGAGTCCCCCCCCCCCACTCCATTAGTATCATTTGCCTTTATGGGCCAATCAGTTTTGCGTCCCCTCCAGATCTTGGGAAAGCTGAAGGAACAGCAGCTGGTGAGAAGTTCAGCTACACGTGCAGACAAAGAGCAGGTTCCCTCCGAGTGTAGCTCTTGAGCTCTCGGGACCCGCTGCCAGCCATCAAGAGAAACTAGAAACAGGCAACAGCAAATGACTCAGCAAATGACTGGCAATTGGAAGGGGCATTTCTACGGTTCTTGGTATTGTTGTGGAAATAGCCCTGCTCTGGGACCCCATAAAGATAATCTCAGATGGAAAAGGCATACAGGATCACAGCTTCTCCAGAAGATTCAAGATGGATCACAACCTCTAGATCATCTCCACTAGCTGAGGCATTTTCTTCCCAGCTGGAGGTCTGGATTTATACTTAGAACCTCATTTGCTTACTATTGGTAGTGCTGAAGACTTGAAGGGCTGTGACATCTTTAAGAAGTTTCCATTTCTGCAGCATTTTTTCATATCCAGCACCAGGCAGAACTTAATTGTGCCAGGAGAGGTATTCAGCAGGCCATCTCCCTGCCAACACCAATAAAGAAAGATGCCTGTTAGGGAACAAAACAGGAGAAACTAATGTTTCTTTCTCACATCCAGCCTACTGCAGCATGAAGAACCTCAATAACTGTTTTAAGGGATGTTCCTCCCTTTGGCCTTTAGAACCACTACAAGCACAGCCCCTCCATCTCTGGTCACTGAGCACTGTCTTCTTCATCTGTTTGGGCTTGGGCTGCAAAGAGACTAGACCATTGGCTTGAGCAAAGTACAGTTACCAACCAGGGATATATTTGGAAGGGGATATTAACACAAGACTAGCAATCTCCTGGGAGATCAGTAGTCCTGTGTCAAAACAAAAGAGAAATATCTCAGCTGACCAGCTGACGGTCCATTCTGTCGAACTCCTCCTACTCTCTCTCTTGATTTTCAACCAACTTCGACCCTCCTTTGCATCTAATCCTGACCTCTTGGGCAGTGGAAGACCAGACACTGTCTTCTTTGGAGGACAGCTGTTCTGGTTCCTGACAAAGCTATTGTATATTGTTCACTGCACAAGTGTGTTTCCTCTTAATGGCCACAGGCAGGCAAGCATCCTTCCACTTGATCCCCAACCGTCTTGCTTTGGGGTCCCTGCAGATCCTCCATGATCCCAGGTCAATCTGAGCAAGAGCCACCATTGTACACCTGAAGGGGGAAGCCCTTATCTCTGGTGCCCTGGTAGACAAATCAGGGAGGGCTTCTCTACTCTCCCTGCCCCCATTTCTGCCCTCCCACAAAGCTTCTCTCCCAAATGGGGCTTCTCTAGATAGTACCTCTAGAAGTAGGAAGGGAGAATCAACCCTCCAGAGAGTAATTCACACAACTGTGATTGCCAGGTACACTACACAGCCTGGATCTGACTCAGGCTGAAAGGAATCCCCTCTAGATGGATTAATTGGGTTTGCAGTTGGTACAACTTGCTGCCCGCCCCTTCCCCATTCTCCAGATAAGTCTGTGTGAATGCTGCATCCTTTCCGGCTGAGATCCTTGAACCTTCAGCAGACAACCTACCAGCTTATCCCATGTTCCCCCTCAATGTGCCAAGTGACATTAATACCTTTTGTTGTTGTGTTTGCTACTAAGGGAGCTGACGGCATCCGTGGCTTGAAAGGAACAAAGGGCGAGAAGGTGAGTGAGCTTCAGTTCATATTAGCTTCTCTTCTTTTCCCTCCACTGGTTTCTGGGCCTCCCCTTAAGGTTGCCAGCCACCTTTATTTGCCCTGTGGGGTTCAGCCTGTTTGCAGCTGCATGACAGGCAGAAATTCAACACGGCATACTGTACTTTCCTATCTCTGTAGCTCTGTATCTGGAGAAAGTGCAGAATCTTGCAAAACTGTTAGCCTTGGCCCGTGACTGGCTCTGCTTTGCTGTTGTTTAGAATTTGCCTTGTAGGGAAGTCTATTAATTTCATCTGTTGCCAAAATGCAGTTTCGGATTTATTAAAAGAAAAAAAGTACAAAAAATGCATTCTCCATGGGAAAACCGCTTGCATACATTAGGAAAAAGATGCATATTTTTTGGATATGCATATGCATAAGGATCCTTTTTTTAAAAAAAGGCTCCAACAGAAACAGGGCAGAATAAAATCAAATCTATAAACTTAAAGAACAGAGAGGTTGAAGCTGGCTTTCTGGGTGTTCTCATTGGTCTTGTACCCCAATATTGAGGGATCACACAAAGTTGCCAGTCCCTTATTTACAGAGTCCCCCAATCCTCTGAAAACAATGTCTGGAAAAAGGCAACCCTCTCTCCCGTTGAAAATGTACAGAGACGTGATGGAGGCTCATAACTATCAGTACATAAATTGCCTCTAACGCAGAACCCGAAGGCCTTTTGTGCGGTTCTTCTTCCCGTGTTATGGTTGTGTTGCAAAACAAGCGCTCTTTGATCTCCTTCGCCCTGCGAGGCTGTCATCTCAGTTCCATAAATAGATGCCTTTGATTTACACCTTTTGGAATCCAGGCCTTGGGGGCCGTCCAGGCAATCCAGCAAAAGCCCCGAACTGCCAGAGGCAGCGATCAGAGCAGCTCTTGCAACCCGACTTTAAGGGAATTTGGAGAAGCAGCGCTCTCTGTAAAGCGCAGGTGTACCGCTGCGCTCTCCCCAGAGAGGGGCAGGTGCTTTGTAGCATTCCGGTCTTGTTCCGACCTTAAATCTCCCACCCTGTGTTCCTCGGCGCTTGTAGTCCATCACCCAAGAAACTGACAATTAGAGCCAGAGAGCAGCAGCTACCAGGGGCTGCCAAACGCCCCAACGTTGTTCTTTGGTTACTGCATCCACGTTTTAGTCCCTGACAGGCCTGCTTTAGGACTTGATGCACTATCGATTGAAACTCTGCAGTTAAACCTTTGCCGACTGGAAGAAATATTATTGCTGTCCTGGAGTTCTTTCTGAAAAGGCTGGTGTGAAACGGGCTTGCTGAGAATTATTTCTTGCCAGCACTGGCAAGTTCTCTGTGTTTTCATCAGCTCAGCTGACAGTCTTGGCTCCTGATGGAAGAAGAGAAGGACACCCCTGGGGTTTTGCTGGATTTGGGGCGGGAGGTTTTGAGGACTTGCAACACAATGTCCTCTGCAGACACTGAGGTCTTCTTCAAAGAAGGAGAACTGTAGACTAGCCTATTTCAGGGGCCAGAGAAACTTGGGGGTGGGGGAGGTGTCAGCCCAGCATTGATTGCTCATCCCATTAGGGTCTTCTGCTTCAGGTAGAATCTAGATACCACTGGAAATGACTTTCCCTCCTTCCTGTTGGGCAAATGTTACCTGTCTCACCTCAGCGTGGCAAACCCTTTGAGGACTAGGTGGGGAATCATTTTTTATTTAGCAACGTTCTTTAAAATGTAATCAAGGAACCCTTGAGCTTTCCAGAAACTTTTTAAGAAAATAGGGTGTCCTCAGTGAAGAAAAGTAGAATTATGAGTCCGATATCCCAGAAAATTGGTTTGCCCTCTAAACCATAGTGTTTTAGGAATGAAGGAAGCTATCAGACTAGTACATATATAGTCCACCTTCCCTCAAGCTCTCAAAGCAGAGAGATACAGACATTACATTATGTCATGCCCCCATGTACCTAATTGTACATGACCTCCACCCCCCTTCCTGGGGGAGTTTCTCTATTTTTACACAGTGTATATCTTGCATGGTGTTTCCTGTAACTACAGTTCCTTCTTTCCCGTTAGCTATTCTGGCTGGTGATTATAGGGATTGGGAACCATCCACACTAGGTGTTCTCTGAGTCCAGAGAACCTGGCCCATGAAACTGCTTGAATTTCCCGGCAATCACAAAAGGCCCTCTGTTTGCAATTCCATCTGGATAGGGTTCCCTAAATCAGAGGCCAGCTATTATTCAATTAAAGTGATATTAGTAATTATTGAATTACTAATTGAATCACAAGGGGATAAGACCTTGTACTAAAATGTTGCAAGACCTCACCAAAAGTAGGCAAAATTTGGAATTTTTGCATGAGAGCTCATGGGATTTTGGTACTCTTAAGAGTTATTTCCCAAGATTTTACTGAAATCGCAAAAGCCAGAATTTGCAAGATTGCATGGAGAAGATTGAAAAAAGATTGCTAACCCTTGCTCTAAATGTTGAAATGCGTGGCTGGAAACTTTTTTGTTGGATGGCAAAAGCACAGATAGTCCTATAGCACCCAGCAAGGGCTGGCAGTACTATGCCCTGTGAAGGAGGGAAGAGTTGTTGAAGGGTTGGTAGGAATGTGGGCTGACAGGCATTCTGATCCCCTCTGTTCCCCTTACATGTGCAGCAAGACAATTCCTAATACATAGTATCCCTGGTCTTCATACAGGGTGAAGATGGCTTCCCAGGATTCAAAGGCGACATGGGCATTAAAGGCGACAGGGTGAGTTCTTGGAAGTTGATCCTCTCCATGGCCAGAAATGAAAACTGTTGCCAAGTATTATTTGACCCCAAAGCTATGATGGTTCTCATGCACAAGGGATTCCACCGGGCTTTTGAGTTTATAAAGAATTGAGCTACCTCTTTCCCATGGTCCTGGAACTTTTTCAAAGGCAGAGGAGCCATATTCTTCCGGGGGTGTCTTCTCTGTGTAGTGGCCAAATGCATATCTCTTAGGACAAGACTTGAAAATGGGAGAGTAGGAAATGCAAGCAGCCAACCTAGAAGTGTTCTTTCAGCTGCCTTAACTTCCACTCATTAACTGTGGGGCTTAGTATTTATCTATTATTTGGGGGCTTTGTAAGTACTAATTTCTAATAAAAGGATCACTTCCCTGTTCAATCTTGGCCAACCACTCCTGATATTGCAGCATGCTCTCTTTTTACAAAAGTGGTCTGTTCTTGGCCTGGGACTGGGAAGAGGGCAACTTAGCAAGCACCTTTTTAAAAACGGAAACTTAATTATTGGTGGATCCCACAAAGTGGCTGCTTGTTTGCTCACACCAGAATAGTTCCTTTCTGCAATGAAAAGAGCACAGCCACAGCAGAAAATACCAAATTTGCATTTCAGGGAGAATGAGGTTGTACGGCTTTTCTGGAAAACATGCATGTGCCATGCAAAACACCACCAGCACATAAATTATTCAAGTGTCTTCTAAACAAAACCCAATGGTACGTCTTTTGGGCTGTTGAGGAAACTAATAGGAACCCTGCATCGTCCGTAACTCCCTTCTCTCTCTCCGTCTCTGCCTCTCTGTGCAACACAGAGGTGATGCTTTAGCTGGGAATTGGGCCTGAAGATGTGGAATGGCACCTTGTGCCTTGAGAAGACTTGAGGGGGTCTTCTGCAGCAGTGTGGCCTGTGTCAAAGGGCAGAAGCTGCTGTGGAAAAGGTCACTGATGGAAACTGGAGAAATGCTGCCAAGCACAGGAAAACATGCCATGAACCTTTGGGTCACCATTGATTGAAAATCATCCCATTCAACCTGATTCTCCCCCCACCCGTGGCCAAATGAAATTTACCTCTGCCCCCAAACTACCCTTAACTCTGAATATCTCCTGAGAGCAACTAAGCATTCCCTTAGGGGTGAGTAAAATGCCTGGGATTAATTCTAGGCTTCAGGGATCTTCCGTTACTCAGAAGATTAGAAACCAGGTAATTAGAAAAAGGATTATTGGGCAGGAAGATTAGGGGAGAAGAGACAGCCCAAATCTCCAGGCATAAAGCAAAGAGGTGTGTTTCCTCCAGCTGAGCACGGCCTGCTGTTTCACTTATATGTATATCCTTTGGTATAATGAGTTTGCCTTGAAGTGGCTTGCTTTGAAATGCAGCAGGAGCCTTGAGGATGTCTTCCACTCTTCCAGAAGAGGAATCGCTAGTGGAAAAGGACAGATGATGTGGTCATCATTCATCTTGTCTGAAACTCAGCATGAATCTTTTCTGTCAGTTCCAGATAGCAAAATGTGGGCTGCTGTCTGGAAAATTTAGCTACTCTGAGGCTGTGTTCACACTACATACTTACTACGGTCAACAAAGACCTAGTGGCTACATTTGCACAGCACACAGATTAATGTTAACTTGATCAGGGTTTTTTTGGCTGAGCCTGTTGTGCAAACCCAGCCTGTTTGGTGAATGTATGGCTCACAGAACAGTGCAAACTCAGAGAATCCAGTAGCCAAGCTAAGTTGAACCAGCCTTTTCATTTGTGATTCCTTTTTCATCCTTCAAAATTCTTTGGGTGTTATGCTTAGAAGCCATCTTCTCAACTGATTCTAATGGTTTGCTATTGGTATCTTCCAACACTGATACAGAAAGGTTTTTAAAAAGGGCAGAAATAGTAATCTCATTTTCAATTCATGGTAGGGTGAAATTGGCCCTCCTGGTCCTCGTGGTGAGGATGGGCCAGAAGGCCCGAAAGGTCGCGGTGGTCCCAATGGAGAACCTGGTCCACTAGGTCCTGCTGGAGAAAAGGTATGAAAATCCCTTCTCAACCACTATACCTCACCCAGGTTTCCATTAGCTGCAGAATGCAATAGCCTTCTAGAGGAATCTTGCTCAGATTTCTGAGTTTTGGTTAATGACTCTTGATATATCTGCAGACTTGCTCGAGTAAAGGAACGGTGCAAATGAAAGTTCATTCTGATGACACTGTTCCTTGTTGCTCTGGAATCATCTTCACATCATCTTCTCCCAATAGATTGAGAACTGGTGAGGGATCCACCAAGCCAAACTTAATCCCAGATCTGGAGGATTCCTCAGTCTAGGGATGATTTTATCTGTCCTTTAAGCTCCAATGTTTGCTATTTTCCTCATTAAAAAATATAAATCATGGGATTAGTTTAGCTATGTATCTTCAGAAACAAATAGCTGTGTTCTCCCCATCCTTCTTCTCCGCCTCCTCCATCATCATCATCATCATCATCTTCTTCTTCTTCTTCTTCTTCTATTTGTTTTTACAGGGAAAGCTTGGTGTTCCTGGCCTGCCAGGATACCCTGGAAGACTTGGCCCCAAGGTAATTTTTGCCTTCTTTTGCAAATAGACTTCCATTTCAAATGCCCAGGTTAGAACCACATGAGGCACTAGTGGAGTTTACTGAGATCTTGTGCAACCAGTGAGGTGGAATGGGAGGATGTTACGTGTTTCTGCAGTGCAAAGTAGGTCAGGGAGATGGGGTTGGGGGGAGAAGAAGACACGTACAGCAGATGTTCCTGAAGAGGCTGGCTCCACGTCCATCTTTATTCTGGGAGGCTCAGCAGATCTCTCAGCGCGGCTCCCCTGCAGCTCGGAGAAGGAAAGCTGTTGTAGTTTCTTACAAGCAGCTTCTTCTGTTCTGCAGTTTGCTGGGGAAAATAGTACCGCAGGTTGCTGTTAGTAATTTGAAATAATTTTTTTCTTCTTTGCTGTGCAGAAAAGAGGTTTTGCTTTGAAAACAGTCTAGACTAGACACCAGTTTGTGGATCCCTTAAACCCCACCAATGGGGTTTATCATCATCGTCATCCTCCCAACTACTGAACATGCAACCCCAGCCCCCAGCCTTTTGCTCAGCAGCATGGGCATCGTGTGGTTCCTGCAAGGTTAGACACATGGGCACCATTCTCCTTTGCTGGCTTGTCTGCTGCTCTTGCAATTCCCCTGGAATTGCCCAGCAAAATGGAGCAGCCCAGAAACTGAGAGCCAATAATTTCCCACCCACCCACGCCCCACTAATTCCCCCACAAGATAGTCCTGCCTACTACTATCGGTGCAAAAGAGCCAAAGTTGGGCATGAGGGGTCCAGCCAGGTGGGCTGTGCCCTTGTCGGCGTCCCCGGCTGACAGCTGAGTAAGCGAGGCAGGGCGGGCATCTTACCCAGAGCCCCTCCAACTCTTGGCCAGGCTCTGAGGGCTTGGAGGTGTTGCACTTCTCTGCTGTTTTTAATGAAGGAGAGAAAAGTTTCCCAAAACACATGGTATAAATGAGCAAGAGGTGTGATCTTCTCCACCACGAGGAGTTGGCATATCTTATTTTAGCCAGAAGTTTTTTGTGAATTTTTGCCTGCAGAGATTCCTCCAATTCCTGACATTTGACTGAGGTGAATTATGGAGCATGATGCAACCTTTCTTAGAAATCTGGCTAAACGTACCCATTTTTAAATTTTCCTTTGAAGATGTCTCACCCAAACCAGAATTTCTGAGTTCACTCATCTGGGAAAATTGGTGTAAGCGTAATAAAAGCCTCATCTAAGACAAGAAGTGCTGGTGTGAAGCAGTTTCATCAACCATAGACTATTAAGTGGAGCTGTTGCCTTAAGCACGTGGTGCATTGTTGAAACTCTGGGGGATGAAAGAGCAAAGCAACCCACCGTGGGCAGTGCTGGCCCTCTCAGGACCAGGCCTTTGCTGCCAGCTTCGCCCTTCATGCCCTAGACTTCTACCGATTCCCCCCTTGAGAGACCATCTAGTCCTCCAACCATCCTTGTGCCAAAGTAATAGTAATGAGGACAGTTGCATTACTGTCTGCCTATGTGATTCTCCATGCAAGCTGTTAGGTAATTAATTGTGGATAATTGCTAACAAGACAGTTCTATAAAGTAATGGGCCAGTTTGCACGATGAACCATTTCATTTGAACAGGTGTCCTGTATTTTCTCTTCTTAAATAGAAGAGAGGGAGAGAAAGAGGGAGAACTCCCTCTCCGTTGACTAAGGCTCATCTCAGGGTCCCTCCAACCGCAGCACAAAGCCACTGATGGAGTTGACTCATGGCTTTGATTCCATCTCATCCCCAACCTGCTACAGAGGGACCTTGGTGTCATCTTTCCTCTTCTCCGGCCCAACTCTTGTCATATAAACAGTCTGCAAGGGCTGAATGGTGGGGTCAGGCCAAGGGGTCTGCCCAGCTCCAGCGGGCCACTTCAGCCTGCTGCAGGCTTGCCCCCCACCCCACCCCCACCGTCCTCTGCTGCCATTTGGCTTGGCTGGGAGAGAGACTGGACACCTGGCTTCAGTGGCCTTTGGCTTGTTTTTCTGAACCAGGAATATCCACCCTCTGGAAGACTGATATTGAACTGTTTTTTCAAAACATGGGAATATTGATCTCCTACCTTCTCAGAGAGTACTGCTCTCTGAGCCTTTTTGATTTAGGCTGCAAGAGAAACTGGACATCTAGCATGTGCAGAGTGGACTTGCCAGTCTATTGCTGCTGTTGTTGTTATTTAACCACAGGAATATTGATCTCCCAGGAGAACAATTGTCCTGTGGGTTAGTCACACATACATACATACGCGTTCAGTTTGCCCTAACCCAAAGGGAAAAAAGTTTGGCTGCACTGGCAGGGTCGCACAATTTATGTAGACACACTTTTCTACTGACTCAAAGACTGGAGGAAGGGTGCTGGAAAACCCGGCTTGCAATGTTGTCTGGTGCAACGCACAATTATGTGAAAATGACACCAGGTGCCGGGTGATGTCACAGTGCAACACCCTACCTTTCCTGCTTGTATCCCAACACTGGACACAAGTGTGTGAGTCACGTAATTTGTATCACAACATCACTATGAACATTTTGTCATTTGTAAAGGAATGGGCTTTGGGATTGTAGCTAACCAGGAAGTACCAAGAAATGTGGGTTTTCTTAATATGTTATTTTTCTTGTCCATCATACTTTTTTGTTACAGAATTCTATTTTATTATTCATGCCTACTGCTTGGAAAAAGAGGTCTGTTTGATACTGGAGACATAATTAACCCCAGGAACCTGTTTCCTGCGACTACATTTGTTTCATTTCTTTTGCAATGGCTCTGTAGTTGCATATGTTTAATACTTCTGGCTTGTGGCTCTTCGCAGCAGCTGCTCTGCCAGTTCAGTGTTTTTGTCCATTTATTTGGGATCTCAGCCGACGTTCCTACTCTTTGATTTAGATGCGCTTCCCACTCAGGAAATGCTAAGATTTGATGGGGACTCAAAGTCCCTGCGGGGAGCCAGGCATCTGGTCCCCCTAACTGGATCTTGGTAGAAGCGTTGAGAGCGTTTGATCAGGCAGCCCTCAAATTTCAGCATCCCTGACCAGATGCTTGCAAGAAGAAACTCTGTGAAGATGGCCCAGTTGATGACCTGCTTTCATCTTATCCTGCCCCACCAAAGTCCAGAAATGGAATCAGGGGCGGGCAAAAGCAGGCGAGGGGCCATTTTCTAGCAGCCTTTTGCTCCTTGGAACTAGACGATGGCTACGCGTTCTCAGCAAGAGAACGTTCTTGCAGAAATGCAGACCAGCCTCCTTTTTCCAATAAAGCTGTCATGAGAACTGGAAGGATCCAAGACTTATTTCTTTGCCTCCAGTAAATTGGGGGGGGGGGGAGCCCATGGGTCACAGAACATGCCTATCCTCCCCTTGCAGTATTCCCCAGCACCCAAAAATCCCATGACCAAAACTGGGAAGCAAAAATGGCTGATTTGGGGCAGCACAATTGTGGGCTCCCCTAAATAAAGGTAGGAATAAGAAGCAGGAGACTCCTGGGAGGCAAAACTCTTCTATCCCAACTCTCAATATCTTCCCAACCCCAACCCCTCCAAGCAGTACAAAATTACACTGCTGTAATTTGACCATTCTGTTGCTGAATTCTGGTGGTGCAATTTGGGAGAACATTGATTTAAGTTGGAAAGGAGCGCAGATTTCCTGCACCCAACGGCTCCCTTTCCACCCTTAAAAACACAGAAAGGTATCAAGAAATAGCCCCTCACTGCAGCTGGCTGGGGGGTCCAGGAAACAAACTGCATCTCTCGTCCAGCAGTTGCTGACTCCCTCCCTCCCCTCCCCTCCCCTCCCCCAGGAGCTTTGGAGACTTTTGGTTTGGAAAGACTCAGCCGCAATGCTCAAAAAACCGAGCCCCTTCACAGGATGGGCCTCCTTCCCTCATGGATTTGAATTCTCAGGAGCAAAAGCCTTATTTCAAGCTGGCCAAGTCTTATTTTATTATTTTATTTATGGATGCATAAATTGCTTCATCCTCTGTGGATGGAACCAAAGTGCTGGAAGAGAGAAAAGTTGTGAATGGATCAGTGCGGTAGGAAGCCACATCCCAAGCTAGTTACCACCTGGCCTGGGGTGAGTGCAGACCCCCGTGGGTGGAAGGTGGTTAGGTTTTTCTTTCCTACAGCCATGAAGTTCACGAGCCAAGAACGATTGCGGTTGAATTTTGGTATTTTGCATTTAGACTCCGTCCACCTTCATTAGGGGCCGGGTAGTGGGTTCAGGGAAACGGGGTTCTTCGACCATCATGTTGCCGGTGCCATCTGCTTCCTTCTCTGCTTCCCTTTCTCTAGGGTTCCATCGGATTCCCGGGGTTCGCAGGAGCCAACGGAGAGAAAGGAGGACGGGTAAGAGAGTGCGGCTTTGTGGATGCTTCCAGGCGCTCTTTTCCACTGGCTGGTGCTCTTCAGTTTCTACATTTTCTCCAACAACTATTTCTGCCACTGAAGACAGGATGCGAGGAAGTTTGGATGTGGCATAAATTTGCCTCCACAAAAAAACACCAAGCAACAAAAAATTCATTTAACTCAAAACACCTTTTTGTTCTGGTTAATGCTCCAAAGCATGGAAGAAAGATAACTCAGCCACAGCCACTGAGTGCAAAAGTCAGCAGGGCTTCAGAGAGCGCAGGCAGGATGTGCAGGGTCCGCAGAGGGTCTCCCAAGCTTTATGACAGAGGCCGTCCCCTCTGGAATTCCAGCCCCCCCCCGTAAAGTAGACCCCTGATTCCACCCCAGAAGCTGAGTACTCCCTCCTTCCCTCTTCTTCTTTCTCTTTAACTCACACAATAAATAGTCCTGTCATAACTTGTCTTCAAGCGTGGGCTTGAATGGATGTCAGAATCTGGCAAAGGGGCATAGAAGAGAGGGATTTCTGGCCAAATTTGCAATACTGAAGTGCTTGCTCCAGAATATTAACAACTTTGAATGGCAAAAAAAAAAAAAAAAAAAAAACCTAGTAAGAAAATAAGAACTTATCCAGAATAAGAACATCAGGGGTGCAGTGGAGTGGGGCTGGCCGAGTGGGGGGCGTATGAGTATAAAGAACAAGACGGAGGGTTCTGCCCCAGCTGGTCACTTCTGGTGGCTTTGTGAAGTCAGTACGGGTGGTGTTCCCGGTCCAGTTAAGCAAGACCCCGGTCTCCCTGGCCATCAGAGGCTATCGGCTGCAAAGCAAATCCAGGCTGCTCTCTTCTGAAAGCGAGCATTCAGCGGCAGCCGCAGCCACCCAGCCCCATCTTCAGAAGCAGCGCTGTTACCGGGAGAGAACGGGGTGTCATCCAAGTTCCTTTTTTTCATCTCATTTAAATACAGATTACTTCTAACAGGCATGCTTGGTAGGAATGCTGGAGATATAAAATAGTTTTTCAGCATGTTAATATTTGGCTGTCTAAATTTCATTTACATGCTTGAGAACAGAAAGAGCAAGGCTGTGTTTTCTTTCTTTCATTTCCCATGTTTCTTCCTGCTGCAGTTTTTACTTCTCGAACATGAACCAGACATTGCCTCTCCCATTGGTCATGGGGGTGCATTTGGAAGTTGGTTGCCACCAAGCCAACACGAAGCGGTCAATCTAATGTAAGGTTAGGATCCTGGCTGCGGGATAGGCTGAAGATAAGGTCATGGTCCCAAGAGGCAGGAAACTCAGTGTTATGGAATTACGGGATAAAATGCTGAAAGTGTGGGATTAAGAAGGAGGGCCAGCTTGGTCTAGTGGTTAAGGCACTGGATTAGAAACAGGAAACTTGAGTCCTGTCTTAGGCACAGAAGCCAGCTGAGTAGCTTTGGGCCAGTTCCCAACAAAGCTAAAACCCCAGGAACAAAAATCACACAATTGGAGCAGACCCACTATACTTAACCTCCCAAGATTAAGGATTAATTAATAAATTAAGGGCCGATTAATTAATTAATTAAGGATCCCACTATACTTAACCTCACCTAACATCCTGGCCCCAATGCCTGAGGGAACATCCAGGACTTCAGAGCCTTCTTGAAAAGGCCAGTCTTGGCATGCAGGGAGAGATCCTTTCACAGGCATCACAACTGGCCGGTGGCATTGCTTCAGGGAAGGAACCTGGAGCGTGCCAACTCTGTTGGAACATCCGGGATGGGCAGAAGTAGCCAGAGACAGGAGATCCCGCATATAACCTGGTCCGTGCCATGAAGGGCTTTATAGGTGATAACCAGCACCTCGAATTGAACCCGGAAGCAAGAGCAGCTCATGGAGTAGAGTTGTTCATGGGCATACTAAGGTGCGCCTGTAACTAGCTGCGCAGCTGCATTCTGGACCAGTTGCAGTTTCCAGGTGGCCTTGAAGAGCGACCTCCTGTAGAACGCATTGCAATACTCCAACCAGGAAGTGACTATAGCATGAATGACTGAGCAGGGCCTCCCGGTCCACAAATAGGTGCAATTGGTGCACTAGACAGAGTTGTGCGAAGGACCTCCTGGCCATGGCTGCTACCTGCTCATCCACTCCCACTAGTGTACAAAACACTGAGCACTGTTTGTCCTCACATTCTGCTGTTTGATGCCCTCTGCTTGTCCTGTGGAGTTGTACAGCCAGGTAGGCACATCTCCACCCTTCCAGAAAATAGATGAGCTGCCTTCTGCTCATCTTCTCCCTTGTCATGTTGAGATCAACCCTAAACTCCTGAATGAGGTACGTTTGTAAGCACGTGAAGCAGGGAAACACATAATCGATCACAACCTATGGTGAGGCCGCACTGTTTATGGTTTCCATTGATATTATGCCATACATTTAATATGTTGTTATCCAACCTAAAAGTATATTAGTCCAAAGAACTGCCCAACTTGATGGATACTCAGCTCCCTTTTCTCTTGGTTCGCAGGGCACTCCTGGCAAACCTGGGCCGAGAGGACAACGAGGTCCCACGGTAAGAAGCATTTTGCTCCAGAACTGCTGCATGAATCCTCAGGCAGTCTGAATCATGCCAATGGCTTGGGGTGGGGCCATCTAGCCATAGTTTAAAAAGAGAAACTGCCCGGTTCACAATTCCTGACTCTTTGCAGAATCTAGACAAGACAGCAGTAAGGTGAATTCCATGCCTTTCCAAATTTGGCAATTCACAACTCAAGTAACAACCAGGGGGCATATTAGGATAAAATATGCATAAGTTGGGGAAAAGTGAAAAACCCAGAAATTGTATGAGAGAATATTGCCTACAAAAATGTGCCTAAAAATATGTGCAGATTTTCAAACTTAGGTGCAGCTTTTCATGTGAACTTTTAAAGAATGCCTCCTGAGACAGAGGAGGCAAAAAGAATTTAAGGTTAGGAAGGAAAGAGCTCTTGGACGTGTCCAAATTCCTGATCCCTTCACACTGACATCTTCTCCATGTGTCTTCTCAAGGGTCCCCGAGGAGAACGCGGCCAGCGAGGCATCACAGGGAAACCTGGTCCAAAGGTACTGAAAAACATTCCTAAAACTCTGTTCCCTGTTCCAGTTCAATGCTGGGGCCAGTCCTGGGCCCAATGGCTTCCCTTTGCCCACCCCCTTGCTCTCAGGGGAAACTGAGGCAGCATCACTCAGCTTAGAGGATGTGGTCCAGCGTGGCTGGTCACTTTAGCTTGGATTTTAATAATTTATTAAATTTATATGTTGCCCGACTCCCATGCCCTTCAGTGCGTCATGTTTATGTAATTGCCACTTCTTGGCAAAAATGAAATCTCTCCAGAAAAAAACCTTTATCAGTTCCCAATATTTTTCTTCCCTAATCAACAAAAACACCCCATTTCTTCCTCTGTTTGTTAAATGAAGGGAAGAGTAGGGATAGAAAAAGTCACATTCTTTCTCACGCCATATTGAACTGTTGGCATCGTCTGTGTACGTGGAGGGCGGATTGAGGGAATGAACCAGTCCTGCAGAGTTTAAGAAATCTTCACTCTTGGCTATGAGTCACGCATGCATCTTCCTGGGAGGGCTGTGAAAAAAATTACGTGGAGCATTTTAATACAGTTACACTTGGAAGTCCTCTAGGTAAGTAGCATGGTACCCTAGAGAACTTTCAAATGGCAACTCTCAGATCCTAGACAACACAGCTAGAGGCTGGGGATTATGGAATTTGTAACACAAATTTCCTGGAAACGTCAGATTCCTTTTCCTGATTATAGCTTCCAGCTTGCCTTCTATGTGGACCTATTACTGTTGGGCCCCCCCCCGGGTTGCTTCCAGAAACTGCTAAAATTGACCTTCTTCTTATTCAGGGCTTCTCAAACTGTGTTCTGCAGAACCCGAGGGTCCCATGAGAATTGCATGGAATCCCCGAGAGAGGATCAACTAAGGGGGGAAGTGTTCATGCCAACGCAGCCGGGGCTGAGGTGCAGCAGCCAGGACAGGGCTTGTCACCTGTTTGTGCTGATGGCAACGCCTCATCCTGTCGGGGTCTGAGAGGCAGGCAGCAGGGGCCTGGGACCTTTTTTTTTAACTGACTAGTTCTGTGGCCTAAAAAGTGTGAAAACCTGTGATCTAATGCAGCATAGGAGCTCAGTGCAAGGCCACAGCTTCGTCAGGAGCCCCAGGATGGACAGCTATGGAGCAGCATAAGCCAGTTGAAGAGCTAAAGTCATTATCATCAGATGCATGAGATTTTGGGTATAATTATGGTTGCTCCAGTGTTTTGCTGCAGGGGGTTGCAGGTAGCTTTTCCCTTCACCTGTTCCTGTGTGAATGTTTATCTGCCAAGTGATGCTTCAGCCCCAGGCTTCTGTTAGGTGGGGGTCAGGATGAGTATTAGAAAAGTTGGACCTCCACAGACATTGCAGTCAACCTCTCCACCTGGTAAAATTTTGAGCCCAAAATAAGGTCCTATGCATCTGCCAGCCTCCAGTCTAAGTTTTGTAGATGGATGACCTGAGGGTCAGGGTTTATTGATGCTGATAATGTATGGTTTTAATGCTCTTTTTTGCCTTCCAAGGGCAATTCTGGTGGAGATGGACCTCCAGGACCTCCAGGGGAAAGGGTAAGATCAAGCAAGCCATGGCTGGACAGACGTGCCACAATTTATGCCTTAAGATAAAAAGATGGGGCTGAACTTCTTGGCTGGCATCAAAGCTGCCGAGACAGAAGACTTAATCTGGTCAGACCCTCAGGGAGGAGAATTGCTCCCTCATTGCATGGCAGCAACACTAATCCATGTCTTTCTTTGCTTCTAAGGGGCCTCCGGGGCCTCAAGGACCAACGGGATTTCCGGGACCAAAAGGCCCTCCGGTAAGTTCAGCACGGAGCAGGAGAAGGCCCCGTGAGATGAATTTGCCTCTGCTCACCCAAGTCTCTCCAGCCTAAAAATGACTGCAGGGAAGCTCAGTGTGGAATTTGGTCTCCTGCATGCGAGGACATTACTATGTTGAGTCATTCCAGTTTTGCTGAAGATCCTGTTTTCTTCTCTAGGGTCCTCCAGGAAAAGATGGATTGCCAGGCCATCCTGGACAGAGAGGTGAAACGGTAAGTACCTTAATGTTCTCATCATTTTGATTGATCCAGGAGTTGCATTTTCTCTTTTTCACCTAAGAGGGTCCTACTTAGGTCTCTGGACCTGGCTAAGCAAGCCTTTTTCTCTTCCCCTCCTTGCATCTGTCTCCCTGCACCCTTCCCCCCCTCTCAGGCAGGGCCAGGCAAGGAGGGCAATCTGGACAAATGACCCTCTGCCTCCAGAGGACTCCCCCAAGCTGCAGGGGTCCCACATACAGAGAAATAGAAAAAGTGATAGATGTAGACATTTCTCCTCAAGCAATATCTAATTCTGTATTCATTTAATGTACTCTTTGTCCCCGGAATTGCACTGGAAACATTCAGAAAGGTGTAGGTTTCAGGGGATAGCTGTGCTTCAAATTGTGCATTGATTCAGGAAGTGCTAAATTCATACTGAAATGCAAACCAAATGGTCCCTAGTCCTTGGCCAGATGACTCCAAGGGACTCACCTCTAGGGAAGGAAGAGCTGCTGAAAGGAAAAAGCCATGCACACCTCTTTTTTCTCTCTCATCCCTCCCCCAACCAAGTCATTTCCTTAGAAGTTTGCAGAAATCATTAGAGCTTGGGAACCAGGTCAGGAACTGCTGCTGGATAATGGATCCTTCGCATCCCAAAACATCTAGACGCTCTTCTCCAAGCATCTAATTCAACTTTTCCAGGGTCTTGGATGAAGCTGTCAGGACAGAAAAGTCCAGCCCACTCAATACAAGAAGTTCCAAACTTTTTCTGCTGGTTTAAGGGCTGGCTTAAGCCTCCTTTCTATGCATGCTTCACACATTTCTCTCCAGGAACCCAAAGGTACTCAGTGCGTCTCTGACCACCCCCTGAATCAGCACAAAGCAGCAGAACTTTGATGATCTGTTTTCCTCCCAAACTGTCTCTCCATCCTCACTTTCATGCATGAGGCCTTCTGGGGAAACTCTTGGTGGCTGTGGTTCAAAGGACCACCGTCTTTTGAACCAAGGAGCCCTTCTGACCTTTGAGGGTCGTCCTCCTTTGAGCAGGAAAGGGCAAGGTTAAATTTGATTAACTTTCAATTAAAATATAATTTAAATTTAATTAATTAAATATGGCTATTACAACTGACTCCCAGGTAATTAATCATTTCTTTCTTCTGGTAATTAAATAGGGCAATTTGGTAGCAGCTGTTGGAGGCTGCATTCAAAGCTTTGTGGGGCAGACGTATGGGGGAAGGAAGGGCTTCCACCAGTGCTTGGGAGCAGTTATTAAAATACTACTAAAGTTGGTCCCTCGTCCCTCCAAATGACATCCTCCAAATTCGGCAAATATTTACGTGTGAGGGAAGCCTTGCCCATCCCTCAGACATCTCGTGGCATCTGACATGAACCTTTCCCAGCCACAAGGGTGTATAAAGTGTCAAGTACATTTCCTTCGCTCTCTTTGTCCTTGTTCTGCTTCTGAAATCAATATGGCAGCTCTTCTCTGAACGCCTTGTGTGGGATTGATCTGGCAGTTCTTGCTGTGAAAGGGAGCAACAGGAGAGAAAAGGAGAGAGAAACTTCTCATCTGATATCCTGTTCAATGTATTGATCAACAACCATGATGCTGTACACACGTATTCTGTTCACTGTGCAAGACAGACCTCTTGGATGAGCTCTTGGGGGGAAGTGGAATTTCCCTCTTCCCTCATTAGGAACTCCATCATCCCTCCTGCTTTATCAAATTCTTAAACAAGTGGGGCCATTGAATCACTTGGGCTTCCCCCAACCCAGACATACCTCACCGACTAAAGAGCATCACTTCAGCCTGTGAGCGGAGGTCTCTATGTTTTTTTATTATTATTATTATTTATTTATTTGTTTGTTTGTTTATTTATCAAATTTGTCACTGCCCATCTCATTGAAACAACTCTGGGT